CTCTTCCTGATGTTTTATATTTTCCATTCTGGTCTATGATCTCCCTTCTCTGAGCGTCTAGTTTTCCTCAGAAGATTTGATGCACTGATCTAGGACGATTGACATCAGCTTCAGCCTCTGCTTCTCTCTCATTGTTATCGGTGTTCATCTCACCGGCATGGTCAATATATTCACTATTTTCTTGAATTTCTCCATCATCATTCGGCTCTACAATTGATGTTGTGTAACATCTATTTCATGATACTCCATTTGTTTTGGTTATTCCTCCATTTCATTTACTTTATCATTTTCTCCCAAATAATTTTCTGACCAGTCAGTTGGTTCACTATTAATCACTGACATCGACTCTTTAGAAGGTATAAATTCTTCTGCTTCAGGATTTACTTCCATAGCAGGAGGTGCAATTTGGTCCATTATTATGTGAAACTAATTGACATGTCGACAAGGATGCGAAGCCCTGTCCACAAGTTGAAAACGTTAGACAATATGACGGCTAAACCTGTCTCTTATACACATCTAGATGTGTATAAGAGACAGGATTAACTCTTTAATTTACTTTTTAAGCTTACAAAATTGATCAAATTTATTATGTTTACCCTGAGAATAACATTATAATATATTTAATTTATTAAATACGCATATAACTGGCCTAAGTACTAAATCAAATTAGTTAATAAATATATTATGTTTTTGGATAACTCTGGTATTTAACATTGGTCATTCTGTCTTTTTAATTTGTAGTTTTAAAAAGATAAATCGATTCAAAAAGAAATACTTTACTCATAAAAATAATAATCATTATAAAGTCAAATTTTCAGTGACATGTGTTTTCAACAAACAATCCTATGAAGTTAGCCTGCCTCTAATATCAAGTATTTTTATCATTTACATTTTTCAATGGTTGATATTTCTTCTTTTATTTCAGCCTGGTATGTAACCGAGTTGCCGGAGGCATGAACACCAGAGTAGTTGAGGCCACTCACCATGATACAATTTATTTTGTTCACAATGAAGTAATAACAACGCACTTTTCTATCAGAATCTGCTTTTGATAATCTGTACATACAACTATTGTATTATTAGGCCTAGGCCATTTTGATATTAAAAAAAACAAAATCTTCGAGGAAGCCACCAATGGTCAATAAGTAATGACAATCTGCCAATGATGGCCTCCTGTAGTTGATGAGACCAGGTTTCATGAGTTTTAAAAAGTTGGTGTTAGTATCACGTGCTAAATGTCTTGCTTGCTTTATGATTTAGCGATTGTAATGTGTAGAATGCTTATACGTTTTTAAACTGTTGCTACTTTAGAATTTGGTTACATTGTGTATAGCAATTTTAGAAAAAAAAATATCTACGCATTTTATGAATAGAGTAGAATGAATCTCTAATGTTGTTAGCCGTGCAAATAACCTAGTTTTCTTTTATATTTTATTACACTGATACTTCTAATTTTATTTTGTAGTGGCTTTATGAGTACATTTAAGATTTAAAGATGTACTGTTCCTTGAAAATGACTAAAATTTTTTAATTAACTTGCTCATTTTGCAGTAACATACAAATTATTAACTTTAGCCTAGAAATTATTAAATTAGAAAAGTGTGTTCCCTGATTTTTTAACTTGATAATTATAATAAAGAAAATAAAACACACCAGTGACTAGAAGTGTTTCTATCCTTTTTTCGCTGTAAAATGATGGTTTTTATGGGTAAGCATTTTTTAAATACACTAATTTCTATGTTCAAGTTGATAATTTTTATGTTACTTCAAAATGGGCAAGTAAATTTCAAAAAATGATTTTTATGATTTTTTTTGTTTTGTTTTTTGCAAGGGACAGTACATCTTTAAACAATTTACATACCATTTCGTTTAACCTATGTAGTCTGATGTCAAAGTAGGCCTACTTGCTAGAATAGAAGATAGTTATGAAAATAATTTTTGAAAGGATTTAATAATCAGAGTAAACAATTCTGGGTCACTAATTTTCATTGCATTATTTACATCAAATATCAAACTCTAAACAAAAGTTTTTCGTTTTTTGCTCGCTTTGTACACATTGGCTATTTATTATTTGCTTAATATACATAGATAACTATCTATTTTATTCAACTGATAAATATTAGACTTGCTACCTTATACAATTTAACGAATACCAACAATAGAATAGTATCGTTTAGTCTTAGTAAATAGAGCTTGTAAAAATATGGAAATAAAGTTTAGTGAATTGCAATTGAAATGGAAATATGTAGGTATGTTAATTGAATAGATCTAGTCTTACTTTCACCACCATGATTACCGAGAAGTGAGATAACAAGTTATGGCATTACAACAAGATACTAAAATGCTTTGCAATTGTTTGTAAAAAATTAATTTGAAAAATTGCAATTAATATATTTTTTTTAAACCCACAGTAATACTGCAAAAATATAAATACAAATTGGTAAAAGTTAAAATAAGCAAAGGAGGCGATACACACACAACAATAGGCCTAGGCCTATTCTCTTATACACATCTAGAATATATTGAGCAGGGTACTTCTCAAATTGACAAATACTTCATGATTTTGTTCTGACTTTCGGCAAAAATTGAATTCTCTATGAACTATACTTTATCAGGCAGCATATCATTAAGTATACATAAATTCCTTTTCATTATTTCATCTATTAGTTTTTCAATTATTACAATTAGGTAGCGCACTAAATTCATTATGATGATATTATAACGATAAATATTAAACATCCTTCATACTATACATAAAATTCCTTTATAAGGAGAATATGCATGCGCGTGCGGCTTACTATCAACTTCCGCCTACTCACGACTGTTACCGATGATATCTAAAAGCGTCTATCGACGTCAGTTATCACTATCTCTGACAATCGCTAGCGTAAAGGTCGAAATTACGACGAGTCCAATAATAGTTACATTTGTATACAAAGTAGGCCGAGTGTTTCAAGTATACTTTATATCCTTTAAGACCAGACTTAAGTAAGTATTGAAACGATTGTTTTAACTTTTTATATATACTGTATATGGTAAGTCTTGTTGTTCGCTATAAAAATAATCAAATAGGGCACCAACGTTTAATTAATAAGATATTGTTATGTACGGTATGTTTGAACCACTAATTGTTAACATACACTATGGAAATCATTTTTTAAGTATGAGGATGCTATTTCTGGGCATCTAGAGGAGCCGCATGCTTAAATTGGCAAACACTCACCCATCAACACTCACTAACTTGCCAGCTTGGGGCATGTGGTGGGGGTGTTCTAAAAATGTGTATATTACACGTTAGTGCTCTTCTTTACTGGGCACCCACTTCTACAAATATATGGATCCACCTCAGATGGTGAATACCCGGCGAACTCATTGGTTTATAGGCTATAACTTTAGCTGTTTTCCATCACATTTTCCCCCCTTAAAACGGCATTCAGATTTGGTATAATGCACATGTACACATATACATATAAAGTCGCTTTACATTACATTACATAATATGCCTATAAGCCTAATATAACCAAATATTTCTCTACCTCGGTTTATACTACTTCACCAAGTAGAGGGTCACGTCACACAAGGAACACTACAGAGGGTGATGTGTAGTCCCCGCCTAACTTAAGCCTTAACTAAGCCTTTGAAACCCCTAAATTGTCATATATTTCGTGGCTTCTCCCCTAAACCAACTCTTAAAGATTTTGAGGGCGTATTCCCACACCCACTTTTCTCTCGTCGGTGACATAGGACCCCCTCCCACACCTCGGGCAAATCCTGGCGCCACTCAACCCATGAACATTTGTAGAATCAATATAAAATATTTATGTTTATATTTCTTCAATTTCAGACATTTTCCTATATCTGTGATTTAATCCTTTAGTTTTAATCGACTTTTATCAAATCAGAATACCTCAGGTATGACGAGAACCAAGGACCACTTAAAACTGTCAATATGTTACATTTTAACATTAATATCTGTAAATCAAGTATCTGCGTTTAATAATATGGCGGTTAATGGTACACCAACGGGTTTGGTATACAAGTATGACATCCTTAAAAATTTCTCCTTGCGATTTGTTCCGGACGAGCTTCCGACACCCTCTCCCTTACCAACGATAGCCGGTTCCGACGAACTTGATGAACTACAAAAAGAAAACAATGACGCTCCTTTAACGGAATGCAGAACCGGTGAGTCTATATTATTCATAACAATTTTTCTTTAATAATTTAATTTTAATCTTATAATGTAAAGTCTTAAGTATGACGTTATGCTTGCAAAATATATTTCGTTGGTCAGTTTTTCACAAAAATTGCTTGACATTGTTTACTAATAAAATGATTTTGTGTGTGTTTACGCATGGAGTTATAAAATTGAGTTTAATATTATAGCTCCATGAATTAAGGTAGCCAGTCGACCAAGAAAAAATCGAACCTTTTATACGTGACACACAAGGCAGTCTTGTTGTAAGTTGTACCATGCAGGCCGAGCTTGTTTGTAGTTTCCAAATAAAAATCTAAAATAAAATGTTACAAGTGTATGGAGTAATATTTTTATTTTACTGATTATAATAATAATAATAATAATAATAATAATCATTAAATAGTAATTTATCACATTGAGGGTAAAATAAAGGTTATTAGGCTTATCTGATATTAAGCTGAGAATGAATAAAATAAATAAAAACACTACAATAACAGGCTTAAT